GGGGGGAGGGGGGAGGGTTTAATGAACAAGCCCAGTCAAGGCTCAAAGCAATTTTGGGCCAACACAACAGGGTTCAATGTACACAGTTGACAAATATTAAGAAAAAAGGAATCCTCAAGACATTAAAATGACAAAAAGAAAATTATGAGCAACTTTATGATTGGCATTAAGACATTCAAAAACTTAGAGGAAGTAGATGAATTCTTTGAAAAATACAAGGTGCTAAAGCTCACTTAAAAAATAGACAATATGAAATGTCCTAAGTCTTTAAAGAAATTGAATTTGTATCAAAAACTTTCCAACAAGGGGAAAAAAGGCTCTGAGTTCAGAATTGATGATAGGTTATTCACTTCTACAATTAACCAAGCGCTTCATTCATGCTAGGGACATGCCAAGCCTCCTGCACACATTCCACTGCACTCTAAAACAGCCCTGACAGGCGCGGTTGTTTGTTTTTGTTTCTGAGACAGGTTCGGGCTATGCCAGCCAGGCTGAAGTGCAGTGGCACGATCTCAGCTCACGGCAACCTCCACCTCCCAGGCTCAAGCAATCCTCCCTCCCAAGCCTCCCTAGTAACCGGACTACAGGCATGCACCACCACGCTTGGCTAATTTTTGTATTTTTAGTAGAGACAGGGTTTCACTATGTTGTCCAGGCTGGTCTGTAATTCCTGACCTCGTGATCCGCCTGCCTCTACCAGCCAAAGTGCTGGGATCACAGGCGTGAGGTGCCATGCCCGGCCGGACTCCCTTTTCTATTTCAAGGCACTTCGTCTGCGGTTTTGAGATCTAGAATTTCGGGAGCTCTGGGACATTTCATGGGTCAGAGGAGTAACATCTGTGAAATGCTGGCGCATTAAGTGTCTAGTGTCTTGCGGGGCAGGATGCCGAGGGAGTGACCCATTTCAGGTCTCAGGCTCAGCGAGCCGCAGTGGGGGAGGGAGGGAAGCTGGTGAGTAGGGGCAAGGGGCGGTCACCCACCTGCGCTGGTCGCGGAGCTGCTGCGCCTCCTGCTGATGCTGCTCCACCTCCGCGCGCAGCCGCCGCACCGCGTCCTGGAGCTGCGCGTTCTCCTCCCAGAGCCCGCATCCCTCGCTGGAACCCTGCCCATCAGCGCCCGGTGGGGAGCCGGTCTGGCCCGGGCCGCCCCGCTCCTGAGGAGAAGGCAACCAGGAAGTGTTTTCAGGAGGCGCAGGGGCGGACACGTTACAAAGGACCAGAGATGTGCTGCGGCGAGATGGAGACCCACCGGCGACCCGCCCAGGCTGAAGCCTGGATGGGTCCCCTGCAGGGACTCCCATTCAGTCTCTTAAAATTTCCTTCTTTGGGTGTTGGCCAAATCTGGCCCTTAGAGTTTAATAAAACTGCTGAGCCAAGAATGGGGCTTGCATCCAAATGAACACTAACCACACTCCACCTGCCTGGGTGCCCTCCCTGCCTGCCTCAGTGAAGTCCTCCCTCAGTGAAGTGTTCAGTGAAGTGACACTGCCTCAGTGAAGTCTTCCCCACCTCTCAGGGGAGAACTGATGAGCTTTCTCTAATACCACCAAATATCGCTAACTCTGGCTCTGTAAAGGGGTGACACCGAAGAGAATATGTTTCCATGCTGGTTTCCTTGGCTAGATTGGGAGCTATTCCTCTCTTCATCTTTCCAACCCTGTAGCACCTAGCCTGGTGTATTCTATAGGTGCCATGTGAATGCTTGCTAAATAAAATTGTGCTAGAATGTCAGTAGTTCAGGTAGAAACACAAAGATTGCTGTCCAACAGCAGATGGGGTCAGATTTAATCTGTGATTAGTGAATGTTCCAGTTTTCAAATTCACTCAAACATGCCCGACCACTTGTGCAGGTTATCTGTTCACTGAACACAGTGATTGCACAGCTGTGCACGGGGAGAATCTGTGGCCCAGGCCCCATGTCCCTGCCTTCCCGCCCTGGGGTTGGCATGGTGTGGGATGCCTGCGGGCACCCACTTGGCACTCTCACATGCATAGCCTGGAAGAGCAAGAGCAGGGGGGGTTACTGCCTTGTGAGGACAACCTGTGACCAATGGAGGACAGAAACGGATGGAAAAATGCGTTCCCCTCTTGGGTCTCTGGGTGGGAGAGATATGAGAATTAGATTCCAGTGGGACGGACTCCACTTAGCTCAGCGGTGGCCAGCTTGGGCCTGCAGTCTGGCATTGTGTCCCCTTCCCTTTCCTTTTTGACTCTTGCTGCCTGGGCTGTCCCTCTTTGCTGACACCCCTGCATCTGCTCTCTGTGTGGGGTATCACCCGAGACCACGCTTTCCTTCTAGAGGGTTCAGGGCTTCCCTCCTATGGGGCAAAGGTGAGGGCTGGTGCACAGGTGGCCAGGTAGCAACTCATGCACTCAGTGCTCCTTGGCTTCTATCCCGAGCCCGCGGGCAAACACTGTCTCCCTCCATGGCCCAGTCCCCAGTTGTCATCATCCCACGTTTCCCCTGTCCCCTCCCATTGGTACCGGTGGCTCCCACCCATCTAAACACTTAATGGAACACATTCTGTCTTCGCTTTGCTAGACCTAACCACTGGGCTAACCTGTGATTCATCATTTGTTAGTATTTTTCATATAAACATAGAAATCGCCTTCCTATGCTCAGCAACAGCTAAATCTGGCACACATGATTCCCATGTCCCCGGAACCTTCAGCAGGACTGGGCCACCAACGAATCCTCACCATCCACAGGCACTGGTGGAGACCCTGCTGAGGGCTGGGAGTGGGGGTGGGGCGGCGATGAGGCAGAACAGATGGGTTATCCTCAAAAGACTCTGATCCAGTCTAGGCAACAAGGATGTCCATGAAATGGCATGTCCCCAACAGGACCGGGTGGTAGATCCTGAAGCCAACTGAGTTGTCTTGACAGCAAGTGCTCCAGGATCTCAGAGCCAGAGGGGGCCACTGTGTGCCAGGGAAGGCCCCCAGCATGGGACATGCTGGGCAGCATCCCAGGTAGGAGGAGTGGCACAGGCAAAGGATGAAAGGAGGGTACAGATGCTGGGTTTATGAGCCACAGGGAATATGGCAGGACATATAGGTCATAGTCAGTGGTGGAAGCTTTTCAATGCCAAGTCGAAGCATTTGGAGCTTTCCCCAGTGGGAACCACCAAAGGCTTTATGAAAAGTGATGCTGGGCTTTGGGGGAATACCTGAAGCCATACACTATGGACTGGAGGGAGAGAGGACTGGGCTGTTAGGAGGTGACTGTGCCACCCAGTTAGACCAGGAATGATGGATGTGCAGGGAAGGGGCTGATGGGCAAAGTCTGAGCAGGAAGAGGAAGGAGAGCCGGCACTGAGTCTGGGTGACAACAAAGCTGCTCCGCTTAGGGGAACAGCAAGGTCTAGACAGAACCTATCTGGGAAAATGTTCTGAGAAATTCCCCTGCAGATCCAAAGGAGTAGCCCAGACCAGCTGCATCGAGGGCCTGGCTAGCACCAACACCCTGAGATACCATTGCATCTGAACTATAAATAACATGCAGCGCTTAAGACCATTTTTGTTTTTCTTTTCAAAGACAAGACCCTGCAGGCCCACCAAGTATCCCACAGGCCTGTGGAGAAGGGTCTTCCCCACTTCAGGCAGGGGGCAGGGGGCAGGGGAATGACTGAGTACCCAGAGCCCATCCTTTTTTTTTTTTTTTTTTTTTTTCTGAGACAGGGTCTTGCTGTGTTGCCCGGGCTGGAGTGCGGTGGCACAGTCATAGCTCACTACAGCCTGGAACTCCTGGGCTCAAGTGATCCTCCTGCCTCAGACTCCCAAGCCAGGATTACAGGCATATGCCACCATGCCCAGCTAATTTTTGATTTTTTTGTAGAGATATACTCTTGCTATGTTGCCCTGGCTGGTATTGAAATCCTGGCCTCAAGTGGTCCTCTGGCTTTGGCCTCCCAAAGTGCTGGATTCCAAGTGTGAGCCACTGCACGTGGCCTCAGAGCCCATCCTTTATGGAGCTTCTCACTGAGGCCCTGATGCTGCTCTGGGAGGGGTGTGGCTGGTGCAAGGGCAGGGGTGCTGACCTCTGTGGTGATGATGTGGTCTTCGCTGTCTCCTGGACACTGGCTGCTGGCTTGCTGTCTGCCCAGAGCCCTCAGCTCGGCCTGCAGTGCCTCCAAGTCCTTCTGGTGCCCAGAGCAGGCAGCTTGCTGCTCCGACAGCTCCTGCCTAAGGGACTCTGGAAAAGGGAGAGCAGTAGGGAGTTAGGCGCTGGGTCTAGGCTGAAGCCTGTCTGGTGGGGACAACAGTCTGTGGGGCGGGGGTGGATGAAGTGAGGGGCTGCTGAAGGCTTGTGGTGGGTTGAGTTCCCCAAACCTTTTCCAAGATAACAGTAACAACAGGGCCATGTGTGAAAACTGTTCTCATTTAAGCCCACAACCATCTTTTCTGGTATGAATTATCCCCCTCTCCCCACCCCTGCTCCATTTTAGGATGAGGGACCTGAGCATCAGAGAGGGTGAGTACAATGCTCGAAGCCACACAGCTATTAAATGGTGGAGTTGGGATGCAAAATTTCAAGTGGTTCTTCACTCTGAACTCCCTGCTTGCCCTCTACTGGTTGGTTAGGATGGGTGGCAGGTGAGGGCAGCATGGCCTGAGCCCAGGGCCAAATCCTGTGACAACGCTTGGCCTCAGCATCAAGTTAGGAGACCAGGCAAAGAACAGGCAATTATCAAATGACCCAAAGGCCTTTTCTGGGGGCGATGGTCTCAAGTTGGAAAGTTTGAAATTTATATCAACTTTTTTTTTTTTTTTTTGAGATGGAGTCTCGCTTTGTTGCCCAGGCTAGAATGCAGTGGCATGATCTTGGCTCACTGCAGCCTCCACCTCCTGGGTTCAAGCGATTCTCCTGCCTCAACCTCCCAAGTAGCTGGGACCAGGCACGCACCATCACGCCTGGCTAATTTTTGAATTTTTTTAGTAGAGATGGGATTTCACCATTTTGGCCAGGCTGGTCTCGAACTCCTGACCTCAAGTGATCCACCCACATTGGCCTCCCAAAGTGCTGGGATTACCGTACCCAGTCAATGTCAACTCTTAAAAAGACAAAATGTTCACAGGTTCTTCTTCCCACGGGTGTGGGGTCTTGGCTGGATCATGGAGGCAGGAGATGGCATGTCATCCCAGCAGGACAGGAACTAAAATGGAATCATCCAGAAGAAATGTGTACATTCTCTTAAACTCAGGGGAGAGTAAGACCAGAAACTTGAGCTTCCCCTCTGAGGATGGAGACTGATTTCTAGTACACTAGACACTTCCCAGCATGATTGAAACAATTATTTCAAAATGAATATTTTCTGATAGAGCAGATGCTATTTAGTGAGATATTCCTTTTAAAAAAGATACTTTTTAAGTGCTTGTAAATTTGATACTTTACTTTTCTGTAATGAGCTTTTGAGACTCTGTATTTTAGTTACTGAAAATAACCTTTGAAACATTGTTCTGATGATTCCATGAGCATCTAGCACAGGTTTTAGTACAGAGCAAGTGCTCAACATGTATTTGTAAAATAAACGATCTTTAGAGTGAAAATGGATGAGGTGATAAAAGTGCATTAGTTATAAAAGCTTTCCTATAAGCTTACTAACCTGCCCTCAAAGATTAACTATATTAAACACGTGCAAAAGCGTAGTGTATTTGGATGATATTAAGATGAAAAATTGGCCGGGCATGGTGGCTCATGCCTGTAATCCCAGCACTTTGGGAGACTGAGGTGGGTGGATCACAAGGTCAGGAGATTGAGACCATCCTGGCTAACATGGTGAAACCCCGTCTCCACTAAAAATACAAAAAATTACCCAGGCGTGGTGGCGGGCGCCTGTAGTCCCAGCTACTTGGGAGGCTGAGGGAGGAGAATGGCATGAACCCGGGAGGTGGAGCTTGCAGTGAGCTGAGATTGCACCACTGTACTCCAGCCTCGGTAACAAAGCGAGATGTTGTCTCAAAAAAAAAAAAAAAAAAAAAAAAAAAAAAGATGAAAAATGTACTTGGTCATCTTTCCTTTCCAGCAGAATTTTGATAAAGTGATTTCTATAGCTTATTTTCTTAAAAAAAATTCTCCAAACACAACCCCATTTTTTGAAAACTGTTATCACAAGATATATGCAATAAAACTTTTTACCAAATCTTAAATTATAAGGTATTCATTCTTTACCCTCCTCCTTCTCTCATACCTTCTCACCATTCATCTATCCATCCATCTACCTATCCACCTATCCATCCACACATCCATCCCTCTGTCCACCTGTCCATCCATCCACCCATCCATCCATCCACCCATCCACCCGTCCACTTATCTAACCATTCATCCATCCATCCATCCATCCATTTACTCATCCATCCATCCACCTATCCATCCACCCACCTATCTGTCTGTCCACCTATCTGTCTGTCTACCCATCTGTCCATCCATTCATCCATCCACCGATCCACCCATCGGTTGCTCACCCAATCATCTGCCCATCCATCTGTGTCCACCCATTTGTCCGCCCACCCATCTGCCCATCCATACATCTCCATCTATGTGTCCATCCATCCACCCATCCTTCCTCCTGTCCATCCATTGACCCATTTTTCTGTCCATCCACCTGTCTGCCCAACCACCCATTCACCCACACCCCCATCCACTTGTCCATCCATCCATCCATCCATCCATCCATCCATCCATCCATCCATCCAGCATGTCTGGGTTCCAACCCTCTAGTAAACACCCACCCTCCCTGCCCTCTCACAGGGACCTATGGTATTGCAGGTCAGTTGTGTCTCACACAGATATCAGAAGATGAATAATCAGCTTCAGGAATATCTCATATCAACCTGCCATTGCTCTAGGTGCTCGTGCTTTCCCTTGAAGACTATGATTTTTTGGCCTCACAGAGTCCACAGAGCCCCTTCTTCTTGGGACTGGTGCTGAGAAGCCCAGCCTTTCCCCAGGGTCTTTCCAGGGATCCCTCCTGATTCTTTTCTTCAGGGAAGAACAGGGCTGCTGTGGAGTCAGAAAAGCCAGGGAAGGGGTGGCAGGGACATCTGCACTGGCAGCTGCTGCTGGGTGTTGGAATCACCAGGGTGTCCAGCCTGACCTGTACATGGGGAGCCTTGGACCTGAGCCATGTGGCACAGCCTGGATTCTATGTTTACATGCTACTGACTTCAGCACTTCCCATGTGGATGCCTCCATTCCAGGGTAGCTGCTAACTGGGAAGTCTATGAAACTCCTTCCTGCTTCTCACACCACTTCCTCAGAAACATGCAGTCAGTGGGACACGTTTTCTAATGAGAACTCAAACAAGCAGCAAGGTAGAGCCTAACTCACTTACGGAGGTAAAGAAAATGTTGTCCTCCAGAATTCTCCTTTTACTTTTTTTCCTAATTAATTTTTTTTTTGTAGAGATGGGGTCTTGCTCTGTTGTCCAGGCTGGTCTTGAACTACTGACCTCAAGTGATCCTCTCTCACCTTGGCCTCCCAAAGTACTGAGACTACAGGCATGAGCCACCACACTCAGCACTCAGAAATCTCTTAAGGAGAGCCCTGTCTAGGTTTGGAAGAAATATTTAATAAAGCCAACAAGATCTTTAGTGCTTAGCATGAAATGGTGACAGATATTTGTCTTGCTCTTAAGAGTGAGGAGAAATATAAGAGTACAGGAGAAAATGAGTGACAGGGATGATCTACAAAAATGACAGAGGTCTCCAGAATCAGGCATGCAACATTGAAATATTCAGTCATGGCCAGGTGTGGTGGCTCACGCCTGTAATCCCAGCACTTTGGGAGGCCGAGGAGGGCGGATCACAAGGTCAGGAGATCGAGACCATCCTGGCTAACATGGTGAAATCCCATCTCTACTAAAAAAATACAAAAAAATTAGCCAGGCATTGTGGCAGGTGCCTGTAGTCCCAGCTACTCAGGAGGCTGAGGCAGGAGAATATTGTCAACCTGGGAGGCGGAGCCTGCAGTGAGCCAAGATCGCGCCACTGCACTCCAGCCTGGGTGACAGAGCGAGACTCCGTCTCAAAAAAAGAAAAGAAATATTCAGTCATAATTTAACAGGGAACACTTACATAGACTTACTATATACCAGGCTCTATTTGAAGCACTTCTCATGTATTTACTTATGTAATCATCATTACGGCCCAGTGAGGTGAATGCTATTATTATCCTCATTTTATACATGGAAGACTGAGGCACAGAGCAGTTAAGCAAGTTCCTGCCCGGAGTCACACAGCCAGTGAATGTTAGAGCTGAGCTTCACACCCAGGCAGTTTGGCTGTAAAGATCTTAACTACCTCTGTTGACTTCCAGGATGCTTTGTGTGAGTGGTTTTATTGATGTGGCAACTGAAAAGGGGCAGAGTTTTCAGCTGGGGATGATGTGGGGGCAGGCAGAGGAAGCAGAGCCTGGAGGCCTAAGATCCCCCAACTTGCCGAAATCTTCAGAACAGAAATGAGAGGTTAAGGCAATGCCATGAAACTCATATGAAGGTCCAGAGATCTGGGTTACATGCAATAATAATGATAATGATAGTATCTACATTCACTGGGCTCATGTTAGATGCTAGGCACTTTATATTTAATATCTCATGTAATCCACACAGTGAGCCTATGTGGTAGGGACAATTGTAATTCCATTTTATACAAAAGGAAAATGAAGCTCATAGTAAGCCATCCCAGGGTTCCCAGCTAGTTGGTGGCAGAGCCAGGATTGTCCCTGACCTGCGTGCCCGAGAATGCTGGAGCCCTGACCTGTGCGCCCGAGATTCCTGGAGCCCTGGCCTGTGAGTCCGAGAGCCCTGGAGCCCTGGCCTGTGAACCCGGGACCCCTGGAGCCCTGGCCTGTGAACCCGGGACCCCTGGAGCCCTGGCCTGTGAGTCCAAGAGCCCAGGAGCCCTGGCCCTCAGCTTGTCGCTGGTTTCTACGTGCAGACCCTGCAGCTGGCCAGGCCCTCCTTGGTGAACTGTTGGGTGTATACCTAGCAGCAGGGCCTGCTGTGCCTGCATCCTCTCACGCTCCTCCTGCAGCTCTTGCCTGGCCTTTTCCTCCAAGGCCTGGAGCTCCAGCCGGTGTGCCTGGTGTTGGATCTGGAGGCTGTGGCTGGATTCCTTCTTCAAGCGTTCCTCTGTGGCCTGTGGGAAAAAGTGGGGACAAGAAGGCATGAAAGTAGGCACAAGGGTGGGAGACCTGACTCCTTTGCCAAACTCTTCTGAGCCAGGATGCTCTGAACGCTTGCTCTCTCCCATGGAGGGCTTATCAGGCTACAGAGAATGCTGTAGCAATAGCCTGGCCACAGCAGCCATTTTGTACCAGGTGAACCCACCCCCTTCCACAGCTGATTGGGCGAGAGTGGATACCTCTTCTAAACCTGGGACAATCAGAGTTCCTTTAATGCAAATTTGATATGAAGAGGTGGGGGATAGAGCAAAAGAGACTGACAGGCAGATACTGACTCTGTGGCTCCAAATTTACCATACTCAGGAGCACTAAGGTAACTATCTGACATCTGCTGCAGGACCAGTGAGGTGGAGGCGGCCATCTGTGGAGGAAGCCCAGGGCTGGTGTGCATCGCAGAGCAGAGCAGAAATGACATGAGGAGGGGTGAAGGATCCCTACAGCTTTTCAGTCCCTGCTCTTGTTTGGTCCTGAGAACTGGCTGTGTCTCTGTCCTTGGGTTCATATTCATTCATTCTTTCTTTCCCTACTTTTTATTTTTGGTTCATTTATGCTTTCACTCAACAAACATTTATTTACTGAAGTCCCACTGTGTGTCAAACACCCAAAGCAAGTTCTGTGAGCAGCTGGGTAAACTTTAATAAGTGTCTCTTCACTGCCTGCAAGTTGGTTTCTGTGAGAGGCACAAAAACAACCCCTAAGATGTCCATGTCTGAAAACTGAGTGTGTTACCTTACGCGGTCAAAGGGACTTTGCAGATGTGATTAAGGATCTTAGATGGGAGATTATCCTGAAATATCTGGGTGGGCCTCAATCACAAGAGTCTTTATAAGAAGGCTGTAGGAAGCTCAGTGAGAAAAGAGTTGATGGTGGAAGCAGAGGTCAGAGAGAGAGAAAGAGGGAGAGAGAGCACGAGATTTGAAGCTGCTACGCTTTCGGCTTTAATAATGCAGGAAGGGACCAGAAGCCAAGGAACTCGGGTGGCCTCTAGAAGCTGGAAAAGGCGAGGATGCAGATTCTCCTCTGCAGCCTTGAGAAGGAACCAGCCCTGCCAATTCCATGATTTTTGGATTTCTGACCTCCAGAATTGTCGGATAATAAATCTGTGTTGTTTTAAGCCACCAGGCTTGTGCTAGTTTGTTACAGCAGCAATAGGAAACTAATATAGTTTCTGTTTTGCTTTTTGTTTTTCAGTTAGGAGAGTTCCAGTTAATATACATCCCCAGGTTTTAGATGAGGAAATGAGAGATGGGCATTGGAGAGATGATTTGGTTTCCCAGGGTCACACAGAAAAAGATACAGAAAGTATTATCCCCCCATTTTTTTAAACTTTTTGAATATATATATGGAGAGGGAGAGTCTCGCTATGTTGCCCAGCTGGTCTCAAACTCCTGGGCTCAAGCAGTCCTCCCGCCTCAGCCTCCTGAAGTGTTGGGATTACAGGCATGAGCCACCACGCCCAGGCACCCACCCCCGCTGCCATCTTTTTTAACAGAGCAGGAAACTGGGGCCAGAAAGGCAGGGGACCTGCCTGCAGACAGGTGATGGAAGAGGCAGGATCGTGACCCATGAGCAGTGGAGTCCGGGGCCCAAGCCCTTTCCACTCACTCATGCAGTGGACATTTCACCAAATTTCCTCTGGGATTTCACCAAATGCATGAGGCTCCTGTGAGGGAAGAACTCAACCATCTTGGAGCCCAGTTGGCCTCCTGAACCCAGCGGATCATATGGAGGCTTTCCTCAGCCTGTCTCTGCCACCTGTCACTGGGGATAGCAATAGGGAACTGGTCTCACTCCTTCCAGGGGAAACTCAGTCATTCTGTGGCGAGTTTCTTTTTCTTTTTCTTTTTCTTTTTGAGATAGGGTCTCACTCTGTTGCCCAGCTGGAGTGCATCGGCACAATCATGGCTCACAGCAGCCTTGACCTCCCAGGTCCAAGTGATCCTCCTGCCTCAGCCTCTTCAGTAGCTGAGACCACAGATGCTCGCCACTACACCTGGCTAATTTTTTTTGTAGAGCTTGGTTCTCTCTGTGTTGCCCAGGCTAACCTCAAACTCGTGGCCTCAAGTGATCCTCCTGTCTTGGCCTCCCAAAGTTCTGGGATTACAGGAGTGAGCCACCATGCCTAGTTGTGAGTTTATTTAATAAAACAGAAAAGCCTCATACTTTTCAAATTCTCTGATACCTTCCTCCTCTGTCCCTTGCTGCAAGACTATTTAATAAAACAGAAAAGCCTCAGACTTTTCAAGTTCTCTGATACCTTCCTCCTCTTTCCCTTGCTGCAAGACTATTTAATAAAACAGAAAAGCCTCAGACTTTTCAAGTTCTCTGATACCTTCCTCCTCTTTCCCTTGCTGCAAGACTTTTCAAGTTCTCTGATACCTTCCTCCTCTTTCCCTTGCTGCAAGGCTCAGAGAACACCAACTGGTGACATTTTTATCCCTAGGGAAATGGGGATGGAGAGGTTGAAGCCTGGCTTTGCAAGAGGGAGCCAAACTCTCTCACTCTGACCCAGCCTCTCTCCATCCCTGGGGGCAACCAAAGATTCAGGTCAGCACTGCCCACTCGCTTGCTCAGGAGCCCTTGGCAGTGAGGATCACACAGGGTGCAGCATTCAAGGCTCAGGGCAAGTTGGAGACTCATTCCTGGTGAATTTCTCCAGCTGCTATAGGAGGGTTACCCTGATCTTGTGGTGGCCAGTTTGAGGCCTCCTGAGGGACCTAGTTTCACCCTGTCTCTCCAAAAGTCCTGTATTATATAATGTCTCCGTTCCCAGTGCTTCCAAATACCTTAGACAACTCCCTCATGGCTTCCACCCAACGATCCCAGCAACCTGTTTGAGGGGTTGCCTTTTCCCCTAGAGGTGAGCTACGTAAGGACAGAGAGTGTAGTGATGATCTGGTATCTCCGCAGCTCTGCATGATGACAGCTCGTGGCAGCTACTCAATTAATGCCTGCAGGATAGATGAGTGAATAATACAAGTGGACCTTTTAAAAACCACGCTGTTACTGAGCCATGCACTGTTCTAAGTACTTTACATGCAGTATCCCTTTTGATCTTCATAACCATCTCATAAGATTCATACTACCATCTATCATTTTATACATGAGGAAACTGAGGCACAAAGAAGCTAAATGACCTATCTGAGCTCCCACACTTTGTAAATGGCAGATCCAGGACTTGAACGCAGGCAGCCCATTCCTAAGCGCTGACACAGGAACTGGGGCTTATACCCGATGGGCAGAATGTCCTTTCACTTTCCCTTGGCCGGGACTCAGACCTTATGCGTCCAACCCGCTAGGGCCCCTGGAACTCCCTGCCTCAGGTGGGTGAAGCCCCCTGCCTGTCTGCCTCCTGTGAGAAACTGGGGTCCACAGCATGGAGGAATAAAGCTCGGGCATACACAAAGGTCAATATCACCCAGCAGCGAATACACCTGGGATCTCCCCACACTGAGCTCTTGCAGATTGTAAGCCAAAGTGAAAAAAGATTTAGAAGAATTAAAGAAATAAAGAAATAAGGAAACTGACATCTTTTTTGAACACCTAATAAGTGCCGGGCAGTCCATGTGCATTATTTCCTTCCTTCCTCCCTCCGTCCCTCCCTCCCTTCCTTCCTTCCTCCCTCCCTCCCTCCCTCCCTTCCTCCCTTCCTCCCTCCTTCCTTCCTTTTGTTTTGAGACGGAGTCTCGCCGTGTCACACAGGCTGGAGAGCAATGGTGTGATCTCAGCTCACTGCAACCTCTGCCTCCCGGGTTCAAGCAATTCTCCTGCCTCAGCCTCCCAACTAGCTGGGACTACAGGCGTGCACCATGATGTCCAGCTAATTTTTGTATTTTTAGTAGTGTTGGGATTTCACTATGTTGGCCAGGCTGGTCTCAAGTGGTCTGCTCATCTTGGCCTCCCAAAGTGCTGGGATTACAGGCGTGAGCCACCATGTGCTCGACTTTCTTTCTTTTTTTTTAAAAAACTTCTCGTATATTCTTCTCAGGGGAATATGTGCATTTAGTATAAAGAGCCAAATAGTATTAAAAGAGAGGAAAATAAGCAGCCTCCTAGTCCTTTCCTCCTCCCTCTCTGACTCCTCTTCTCTGAGGCAGCCATTGTCAGCTCCTCGTTTCTTGTTGTATTTACCAGCATTTAAAAGACAATGTTTCCATTCTAGTGTATCTTGATCATTTTTGAGACTATGAATTGTCTTTCTACTTTAGTAGATCAGGATTTCAGGTCTCACTCAATGTCTTCCATTCCTTTTACATAGTATACAATATATATTTTTAATATATTGAAGTACACTTCCTATTTTCCTTATAGAGAATATGTAAATATTATTTACTGTTGAGCTGAATAAATTATTATGATTGAACTTCTGCCTTGTGCAGTTTTTTGTTTTTCCTTGCATTAATAAATGCTGCATTTTTTATTTGTTTAGTTTCCTTTGGCTATCTGGCAATTCTTCCTGCAACTTCTAAATGCTTTGTAAAACACACAGTGCAATTTTCCACATGGCCAAATCGATCAGAGAATCCATCAGTCTGCTTTCCCCTGGAGACAGCTCTTCCAGAGCCCCCAGTTCCTTGTCCAGCCGCAAAGCCAGACTCCTCAAACCTTCCTTCTTGCTCCTGCATAGAATCCCCAGTTTCCCATCTCTCTTTTATTCCCTCTCCCTTGGTTTGCTCCCTTGTTTTTGTGGGACACCTCCTTCAAGGAACTCTTAAGAGGGCAGGAAGGGAACACCCTCTGAGAAAGCTGTGTTTAAGCCAGGCCACAAGGTAGAAGGTGCTGGATGAAACATGCCTGAAGCACCCCACCAGATTATCCATCATTGCATAACACACCACGGTTTTCCAAACCCTTGGAAAGGTCTTTGTGGCTGAGTTTTTTTTTTTTTTTTGAGACAGAGTCTTGCTCTGTCGCCCAGGCTGGAGTGCAATGGCACAGTCTCGGCTCACTGCAACCTCCACCTTCCAGGCTCAAGCAATTCTCCTGCCTCAGCCTCCCAAGTAGCTGAGATTACAGGCACCTGCCCCCACACCCGGCTAATTTTTGTATGTTTAGTAGAGACGTGGCTTCACCATGTTGGTCAGGCTGGTCTCAAACTCCTGACCTCAGGTGGTCCACCCACCTCTGCCTCCCAAAGTGCTGGGATTACAGGCGTGAGTCACTGTGCCCAGCCTGAGCTGTTCTTTGTCAACTGTGCTGCCGTCTTCGTTTTTAGCTGTAGGACTGAGCCTGCCTTCCTGGTGTGTTCATGCACACCACTGCTCTAGTCATGAAAGCAACTCGTTCTTATGCCACCAAGGTCGCAAGCAGGTGGGGAAACGTAGCACAAGAAGCCCGGCAGACCTAGCCTGCTTTCTTGCTTTGCCACTTACTAGCTGTGTGACCCTGAGCAAGTTACAAAATCTCTCTGAGCCTCTTTCCTCATCTGGAAAAGGGAATACGATAATAACAATCTGGAAAGATTCTCAGGGGATTGGACGTCATGTAGAAAAGGGACGGCTTTGCACATGGCAGTTCTCACCTAGCAGGTGCCCGGCACAGAGTAGACCACTCAGTCATTCCCTCACCTTGAGTTCCTGATGTCTGGCTTTCTCCAGCATGCGCAGGGCTCTCTGGTGGGAAGCCTCGAGCTGGGCTTTCACAGCCTGGTTCTGCTGAGTGGTCTCCTGGAGTTCACGCTGCAGCTTCTCCCTCTCAAGGTCCGAGAGCTGCTTGAGCGCCTGCAGGTCCTCCCTGTAGTTGCTGGTGCACTGCTCCAGAGCCTGCTGCATCTGCAAGACCTGCGCACCAGGCATCCTACCCTCAGTCTAAGCCCCTTGCCTTTCCTGGGATGTTTTCTTTAAATAAAAGCTTTCTAAATGTCACCTCCATGCAGCTGAGCCTCCTCTGTCTCTAGGGACTCTGAGGGGATGGAAGCTGCAAGCTTGAAGGACCTGGGGGTGGCTAGTCCTTCCAGGGACCCCCCAGCTAGAGCCACGAATGCCGGGAAAGAGGAAAAGAGGGGTGGGGACACCAGCCTTTCAAGAGAAATCAAGAGGGGACTGGAATGCCTTCCAGGGACCCACGTGGCATCCCCCCTCCTCCCTCAGGTGCCTGCTCGAATCTGGCTTCCTCACTGAGGCTTCTCCTGATAGCCCCATATAGTACTACCTCCCCCAAGCCCACGTTCCCCATCACAGGACAGCCTCCCTGCTCTCGTTTTCTTTTTCCTGAGCCATCATTACCTTAGAATGAACTACGTGATTTACTAACTTCTTATGTCAACCATTTATCGTCTGTTCCCACTTCCATTGCTAAAATATATATATATCTTTATATTTAAAGATATATATATATATTTTATATATATAAAAAATATCTTTTTTTTTGGTCTTGAGACAGGGTCTTGCTTTGTTGCCCAGGCTGGAGTGCGGTGTTGTGATCATGACTCACGGCAGCCTCGAACTCCTGAGCTCAAGCAACCCTCCCACCTCAGCCTCCCGAGTAGCTGGGAGTACAGGCACATGTCACCATACCCGGTAATTTTTTTTTTTTTTTTTGTAGAGACAGAGTCTTGCTATGTTACCCTGGCTGATCTTGAACTCCTAGGCTCAAGCGTTCCTCCTGCCTCAGCCTCCCAAAGGGCTGGGATTATGGGTGTGAACCACCACACCTGGCCATAAAATGTAAGGTATTTTTTCTGGTTTGTGCATTGATGAATTCATCAGTGGCTCATACTGAGTGCTCATTAGCACAGCAGGTTTTTTATTTTCTTTTTGAGATGCAGTCTCACTCTGTCACCCAGGCTGGAGTGCAGTGGTGTGATCTCAGCTCACTGCAACCTCTGCCTCCCGGGTTCAAATGATTATCTTGCCTCAGCCTCCTGAGTAGCTGGGATTACAGGTGCCCACCACATGCCCAGCTATTTTTTATATTTTTAGTAGAAACAGGGTTTCAGCATGTTGGCCAGGCTGGTCTCCAATTCCTGACCTCAAGTGATCTGCCCCCATCGGCCTCCCAAAATGCTGGGATTATAGGCGTGAGCCACCGTGCCCAGCTGCAGCAGGTTTGGAATGAATGAATAAATAAAACCAAGAATCCCACTTTGCCCTGGTCCTGTAATGCCTTCCCAGCTTGGATGTGAATCCGGCCCTGCATGCATTTCCAAGTTTGTAAAAAGGAGGGAGCAGGATCTCAGGAAGGGAGAAATCCCCACCAGGGTTGTCCTACCTGGGCTTGCAATTTGGCCTTCTGGCTTTGCCAGTCCTCCTGTAGACGAGGGATTTCGGATGTTTTCTCCTTCAACAAAGAGCCCAGTGGAGGTTGTGGGTCACTTCCCTCCTTGAGAAGCTCTTCGGTCCTTTGAAGATAGGGATGCCACAATCACAAAAGATCCTCGGGCTGGGAACGACACTGCCACTCTGATAACGTGCCAGCCACTGTGCCTGGGAGGAGGGAGCTCTGAGAGCACTTAGTGGGGGTTAGAAACATCTTACTTGACTTTCAAAAAGCAACCTGCCATATAAAGTGTATTATTGCACTTAGGATACAATCAGGAACCACCCGATATCTGTTTTAGCGGGTTCTTAATAAATGGTGATCAACTGTCAAAATGACTGAAAGCTAGAGTTACTGATAGGAGGTCTTTGGGGGCTCCAAAAAAGAGATCTCTATGGTCTTAATTTTGCAGCTCTTTCTGCACATATAAAAACGACCACAACACTTCACTTTAACACAGTGTTTTGCGCTTGTCAAAGCACGCTCACACATTTTACTGGCATCCCCAAGTACAAATCGGGGGACTATAAATAGGCCTCCACATATGTAACGTGAACAAGGAAATGCTAGTTTAAAGCTGCAAGAGTTTCTGCATTCTAGATAAGATGCTCTCTTCCTTAATTCTGAACTTTTGAACCAGCTGAGAATTTCAAGTGCAATTGGGTTAGATTGGGATGTTAAGTATCTTGTTTCACAATGTGAAAGGATGCCACATGGTGGGGCTCTCTGGAGAGACTGCCAGGTCATAAGCAGCATCTGCTTCCCCTGACAAGGACATCAGGCCAGAGCTCCAGAGGTGGGGTTTAGGGTCTTGGGCTGTGAGAAAAGGCCATGAGACGGGGTACTCTGCTTGGCAGAGGTGTGAAGGCCCAGGCTGGGGGGTTAAGGAAGAGACAGACAATGGGGACCCCTGAAAGGAAGGGTATAATGCTAGAAGCAGCATAGGAAGGTGGCCAAGAGGATGGTGCAAGGGCCAGACTACCCAGCTCCAAATTCCAGCTCTACAACCCACTCAATGCAGGAGAGAGTTTAAAGATCTCACCAAGATCTTTAAACTCTCCTGGCTTGAGCTTCCTCCTCTATAACATAAGGTTAATAATGCTACCTTTTCCACAAGGATTAGTAGAGTCAGTATCTATAAAGTGCTTAAAACAGTGTCTGGCGCATAGTAAGAATTACATAAAGAACTAACTACGGGCTGCGCGCGGTGCCTCACGCCTGTAATCCCAGCACTTTGGGAGGCAGAGGCGAGTGGATAGCCTGAGGTCAGGAGTTCGAGACCAGCCTGACCAACACGGTGAAACCCCATCTCTACTAAAAATACAAAACATTAGCTGGGTGTGGTGGCGGGCACCTGTAATCCCAGCTACTCAGGAGGCCGAGGCAAGAGAACTGCTTGGACTCAGGAAGCGGAGGTTGCAGTGAGCCGAGATCACAACATTCCATTCCAGCCTGGGCAACAAGAGTGAAACTCCATCTCAAACAAACAAACAAACAAACAAACAAACAAAACTACACATTAAAAGAGAGACGTTTTCTTTCTCTGCATTCTGATTCTCTTAGGTTATCCTCAAGCCTTTTGAAGGTGTGCAAAACATAGCCACCTTTAAGGAGCAATGAAACAGGGATACCTGGGTCTGAACTCTGGGTATGAAACCAAGGGTTAGGAGGCCAGAGCAAGCAGAAGAGCAGCCTCGGGCAAGAGTGACAGGTGGCACCGCCAGGTATGCACTCCCGGTGAGTCCCAGGAGAGGGGAGGGGGCTGAACTTTCTCTCAGGATGGGGCTCAGTTATTATTATTCTTTTTAATGTTTTATTCAAGTAAAATTTACATATAGTGAGGTACACAGATCTTAAGTGTACAATTCAGTGAGTTTTGACAAATATATACAACCATGAAACCAACATCTCAATCAAAATACAGAATATTTTCATGACCCTAAAACTTCCCTTGCAGCCAAAGCTTTGATTTCCATCACCATAGATCACTTTTGCCTGAGCTGAAGCATCATACAAACAGAATCATGTGGGATGCATTCTCTTGTTTCCAGGTTATGTTGCTCCCCATCATGTCTTTGGGCCTCATCCATGTTGTTGTGTATGTCAGCAATTCATTCTTTTTGTTGCTGTGTAGTATTCCTTTACATGAATATATGGTAGTTTGTTTATCCATTTTTCTACTGATAGACATTTGGATTGTTTACACTTCTGGGCTATTATAAATAAAGCTGCTAGAAATAAACGTGTCCAAGGATTTTTGTGGATATATGTTTTTCTTTTCTTTTTTTGAGACAGAGTCTCGCTCTGTCACACAGGCTGGAGTACAGTGGCGTGATCTTGGCTTGCTGCAACCTCCGCCTCTCAGGTTCAAGTGATTGTCCTGCCTCAGCCTCCTGAGTAGCTGGGGCTACAGGTGTGTGCCACCACGCCCGGCTAATTTTTGTATTTTTAGTAGAGATGAGGTTTCACCATGTTGGCCAGGCTGGTCTTGAACTGCTGTCCTCAAGTGATCCACCTGCCTCGGCCTCCCAAAGGGCTGGGATTACTGGTGTGAGCCACTGCGCCTGGCAATGCTTTCCATTTATTTTGCTTAAATACCTAAAAGTGGAACTGCTGGTAGGTATGTGCTTAATGTTTTAAGGAACAATCATATAGTTTTCTAAAGTGATTATAGTATTTTAGACCCTGTCAGCAATGTATGAGAGTTTCAGTTGCCCTGGATTGTTGCTAACATTTTATGTTGTTAGACTTCTTAATTTTAGCCATTCCAGTGGGTGGGAAATGGTATCTCACTGTGGTGGTAAGTTGCATTTTTCTGATGACTAATGATGTTAACCACATGTTCATGTGCTTACGAGCCACTCACATATATATATATTTTTCTTTTTTGGGACAGGGTCTTGCTCTGTTGTCCAGGCTGGAGTACAGTGGCCCATGGGTTGCTGCTGCCTCAACCTTCCAGACTCAAGCAATCCTCCCACCTCAGCCTCTTGAGTAGCTGGGACTACAGGCATGTGCCACCACACTCAGCTAATTTTTGTATTTTTTTTTTTTGGAGAGATGGGGTTTTGCCATGTTGCTCAAGCTGATCTTGAACTCTTGGGCTCAAGCAGTCCACCTGCCTTGGCCTTCCAAAGTGCTGAGATTACAGACATGAGCCACCATGCCCGGCCTAACATACATCTTTTTTAGGAAAGTGCTTGTTTGAGTATTTTGTCCATTTGAAAAATAGTTTTGCAGAACGTGACAAAGATGCCCTCTCTCACTCCTGTTCAACATAGTATTGGAAGTTCTGGCCACGGTAATCAGGCAAGAGAAAGAAATAAAGGCCATCCAAATAGGAAGACCGGAAGTCAAACTATCCCTGTTTGCAGATGACATGATCCTATATCTAGAAAACCCATAGTCTCAGCCCAAAAGCTCCTTATGCTGATAAACAACTTCAGCAAAGTCTCAAGATACAAAATTGATGTGCAAAAATCACTAACATTCCTATACACCAACAGCATTCAAGCTGACAGCCAAATCAGGAACACAATCCCATTCACAACTCTCACACACACACAAATATAGAAGGAATACAGCTAACCAGGGAGATGAAAGACCTCTGCAAGGAGACTGCAAAACACTGCTCAAAGAAATCAGAGATGACACAAACAAATGGGAAAACATTCCATGCCCATGGTTAGGAAGAATCAATATTGTTAAATGAACATACTGTCTAAAGCAATTTATAGATTAAATGCTATCTCTATTGAACATTTTTCACAGAAGTAGAAACAACTATTTTAAAATTCATATGGACCCAAAAAGAGCCCAAATAGCCAAGGTAATCCTTAGCAAAATGAACAAAGTTGGAGGCATCATGCTACCTGACTTCAAACTATACTACAGGACTACAGTAACCAAAAGAACATGGTACTGGTACAAAAACAGATACATAGATCGATGGAACATAATAGAGAACCCAGAAATAAAGTCACACACCTACAACTATCTGATCTTTGACAACCCTGACAAAAACAAGCAATGAGGTAAGAATTCCCTATTCAATCAACGGTGCTGGGATAACGGCATCATTTGCAGAAGATTAAAACTGGACCGCTTCCTTATACCACATACAAAAGTTAACTTAAGGCCAGGCATGGTGGCTCATGCCTGAATTCCAACACTTTGGGAGGCTGAGGTGGAAGGATCATTCAAGACTAGCCTGGGCAACATAATGAGACCCTGTCTCTAAAAAAATAAATTAACTCTATGGATTAAAGACTTAAATGTAAAACCCAAAACTATAAAAACCCTGGAAGACAAGCTAGGCAATACCATTCTGGACATAGGAACAGGCAAATATTTCATGACGAAGGCACTAAAAGAGATGGCAACAAAAGCAACAATTAACAAATGGGATCCAATTAAACCAAGAGCTTCTACACAGCAAAGGAAACTATCAACAGAGAGAGCAGACAACTTACAGAATGGGGGAAAAGATTTGCAAACTATGCATCTGACAAAGGTTTAATATCCAGCATCTATAACGAACTTGAACAAATTTACAAGAAAAAAACAAACAACCCCATTAAAAAAGTGGGCAAAGGACATGAACAGACACTTTTCAGAAGGAGACATACATGTGGCCACAAATCATATGAAAAAAACTCAACATCACTGATCATTAGAGGAATGCAAATCAAAACCATAATGATATAGCATTTCACACCAGTCAGAATGGCTGCTATTAAAAGGTCAAAAAATAACAGATGCTGATGAGGTTACAGAGAAAAAGGAATGCTTATACACTGTTGGTGTGAGTGTAAATTAGTTCAGCCATTGCGGAAGACAATGTGGCAATTCCTAAAAGACTTAGAGGCAGAAATACCATTTGACCCAGCAATCCCATTACTGGGTATCTACCCAAAGGAACATAAATCTATTATAAAGATACATGCACACATATGTTCACCACAGTACAATTCACAATAGCAAGGACATGGAATCAACCTAAACGCCCATCAATGGTAGACTGGATTTTAAAAAATGTGGTACATATATACCATGGAATACTATGCAGTCATAAGAAAGAATGAGATCATGTCCTTTGCAGGAACGTAGTTGGAGCTGGAGGTCATTATCCTTAGCAAACTAAAACAGGAACAGAAAACCAAATATCACATGTCCTCGCTTTTATAGGTGGGAGTTAAATGATGAGAATACATGGATACATAGAGGGGAACAACAGACACTGGGGCCTACCAGAAGGTAGAGGGTGGGAGGAGAGAGAGAATTAGAAAAAGTAACTAATGTGTATTAGGCTTAATACCGGGGTGACAAAATAATCTGTAACACAAACCCCCATGACACAAGTTTACCTATATAACAAACCTACACATGAACTCCTGAACTCAAAAGTCCAATTAAAAACCAAATAGGTTTGTCTTTTTATTACTGATTTATAAGAGTTATTTATATATTCTTAATACAGATGGGATAATTTATCCCAGTCTGTGGCTTTTCTATTCATTTTAAGTTTTTTTTTAAATAAGCAGAACTTTCAATTTTGATGAAAACCAATTTATTAATTTTCCTTTGATAATTAGTGTTTTCACATCCTATCTAGGAAATTACTGCCTACACCAAAGTTTCAAAGATACTTTCCTGTTTTAGTTTTTATATTTTAGATGTATGAAACATCTCAAATTAACTTTTGTGCATAGGACATAGTAGGGGTTGAGGTTCATTTTCTTCTCATGTGTATCCAGTTCCAACACCATTTGTTGAAAAACTTTTCCCATGTCCATTGAATTGCGTTGGCACCATGAACAAAAATTAATCTAGCAACTATGTGTGTGTGAATCTATTTCTTAACATTCCATTGTGTTTCATTAGCTTATTTGTGTACTGGCATATTGATACCACAATGTCTTTATCACTAAAGCTTTATAACATGCCTTGAAATCAGGTAGCCTGAGTCCTCCAACTTTCTTCTTCAAGATTTTTAATATTAGTTTTGCCTCCGTGACTTGCTCTGGCCCATGGAAGCTGGGTGGAAATGAGAGTGCATTTCTGAGTTTAGGCTTGATGAGCCACTGCATGTTTCCATAAGTCTTTTGAACATCTTCCCTTTACCATGACAACAATATTCCCTAGATGGGGACTAATCCTTCAGCCTGGGCCACAGAATGAGATGGCATGTGGAGCAGATTTTAACTGTAGTTTGTGGCAGAGCAATAACACCTGACCCTCACCCAGGAGCCAAGCTCATATAAGTCCCACTGATATGGTTAGGTTTTGTGTCCCCACCGAAATCTCATCTCGAGTTATAATCCCCATAATCCCCACGTGTTGAGGATGGGACTTGGTGGGAGGTGATTGGGTCATGGGGGCAGTTTGCCCCATGCTGTTCTCATGATAGTGAGTGAGTTTTCACGAAATCTGATGGTTTTATAAGTGTTTGTCATTTCCTCCTACACATACTTTTCTCTCACCTGCCACCATGTAAGACGTGCCTGCTTCCCCTTCTGGCATGACTGTAAGTTTCCTGAGGCCTCCCCAGTCAAGCAGAACTGTCAGTCAATTAAGCCTCTTTCCTTTATAAACTACCCAGTCTTGGGGGCTTCTTTATAGCAGTGTGGAAACGACCTAATATACCTGCAGAGCCTGACATAGCCAATCATAAGGGTAGCTAATCTATGAGCTAAAAATCTTTGATATTTGGGGGTGTTATAGCAGCAATAGCTGACTGACATAGGTGATATAGGTGGAGATCTCCTCAGGATCACAAAGCTTGCTTATATCCCCTAATTAAAGAACACTTGGAAACATAGGGGCAGAGGTTTTGGGCCAGTGCAGGTCTGAATCTTGGACAGGTTTGCTAACTTCTTTGAGCTCTAGGTTCTTAAGCTAAAAAATGGCTTCTCTGGGTTGTTGTAACAATTAAGTAAGATAGTTTATGTAAAGCCCATAGCTGTGCTGAAGACATACAAGATATGCTTGTTGACTCCCCAAGCATGCTGCAAGGAGCAGTGATAAATACTTGAGGATAGAATGAATGAATGGATGAATCCTTCCACATCTGAGTCCTCATTCATTGGAGCACTCAGAAGTCTGCATGTCTTTCTGTACCTTTCTTCTTCATCACTGCTGGTTCCTTCTTCAGCTGCTAACTTATCTTGATACTCCTCTCCTCTCGGCGAAGTTTCATCCAGCTTCAAGCATGGATCCTAAGGCAAAAATAAAACATAAAAAGAGGCAAGATGAGCTTAAGTACAGCTTAATGATTCAATCTGTGGCTTATTCAAATCAGAGAGCAGAGGAGAGGGAGCCCTCAGCAACCCACTATCAGTGCCCTGCTTGCAGGGGATGCCAAGGCTTGTGATGATGACGTGACTAGAACAGTGCCTGGCTTACTGTGATCAATGCCAGCCCTCATCCCTGTATCCTGTTTTTCAGTCTATGAAGCATTTCACACTGCTGACAAAACTAAAGCATAAAGAGGGGAAGTAACCTGGCTAGGGTGCCACCATCAGTGAGGAGTGGAAATGAAATATGCAACTGGACAATAGGACCTGGGGACTGAACTCTTGACCACTTCATGATATGGTTCCAAGCATAACCCTCAGAGAGGGCTTTGTTTCCTTGGTAAGCCTGCTGCACAGGGCTGTTGCGAGGACCTGAGAACGATGCTGGCTCATGGCTAGTGGTAAGTGTGAGCAACTAGTGTTACTATTACATCCGTTGTACAGTTTGTAGTCTGCTATGTCCCATTATGTAGAATCAGAAAACATGGAACTTGCTGAATGACCAGAAATGTGGTATGGGAGGAGAATATGGAAACTATTAGTTAACAGTGAGGCTTCTGAATATTTTATGAATTGAATTTGCTCATGTTATCATTCTTTCCTTCCCACAGAGATACACGGGTGTAAAAGACCTTGTTATTTTGATTTTTCTATTTGTCATAACCACACGGTCCATGAAAGCAGCATAAGACAGGGTAGGAATAGATTTGTCTCATGAAATAGTGATCATTGTAACGTGTGCTTTTCACTAACTAGTTGTATGGCCTTGAGCCAGCTTCTTCCCTTTTTTGGACCTGAGTGTTTCATCAGCTGTGAAACAAAGGGGCTGGCTTACATCTGTGGTCAAACTGTGTCCCAGGGATCCTGGGAGGTGTCTCGTGGTAGGAAGAGGCAGAGCTGAGGCTGGAGGGTAGAGCCTTGGGCTCCCATTCACCCTTGATCTGGAACTGCTTTGGTTGCCTTTCCACATACTGTATTGTCTATAAAAGGCCATCAATGTCAAGACCAGTGAAGACCTCCACATTGCCAAATCCAATGGTCAATTCTTGGGTCTGTGCTAACTGGGCCTCCCAGCAGAATTGGAAATATTGATGATTCCTTCCTTTATGCAGCCTTCTTTCCTGGGCTTTCTCCTCCCCCCACCCCCAGTTGCTGTTTCTCAGTCTTCTCTGCTGAAGTCTCCTCCTCTCCTGCTTCTCAAACTGCCACATGTCCAGAACCCAACTCTTGGTTTTACTCCTCCAAACAACAAGCATGCACTTGGCTCAGGGCTTTGCACTGGCTGTTCCCTCTTCCCTCTGATATTTGCATTCCTTGCTCCCTCACTTCACTCACTGCAACCAGGAGATTGTCTCTGACTTAAAGCTTAGGCTCTGCTACCGGACGACCTGTGTTTAAATGCCAGATCTTTTACTTATTAATGATGTGACCTTGGAAAATTACTCAGGTTTTCCCAAGGATTAAATGAGTCGATACAATGTAAAGTCCTTAGAACAGTATTAGGTACCTAAGGAACACTCAACACTCAAGTTTATTCCCTGGAATTATTTTTTTTATTTTTATTTTTATTTTTATTTTTTGAGACAGAGTCTTACTCTGTCACCCGGGCTGGAGTGCAGTGGTACAATTTCAGCTCACAGCAACCTCTGCCTCCCGAGTTCAAGCAATTCTCCTGTCTCAGCCTCCCGAGTAGTTGGGACTGCAGGCATGTGCCACCATGCCTGGCTCATTTTTTAATTTTATTTTTTTATTTTTAGTAAAGACGCATTTCACATGTTGCTAAGGCCAGTCTCGAACTCCTGAGCTCAAGTGATCTGCCCACCTCAGCCTCCCAAAGTGCTAGGATTACAGGTGTGAGCCACCATGTCTGGACTGTTCCCTGGGATTCTTGTCCCCTGGATACCTTCTCTAAAATTCCAGCCCCTCTCACTCTGTTTTCCCCACCTTGCTCTATGTTTTTCCCAAAGTACATATCACGGCCTGACGTTGACTTGTCCACTTTTTAATTATCTGTTTCCCTCACTGGAAGGTAAGCTCCATGAGGGCAGGGACTTTGCTCACCTGTTTCCCTGCTGCCTAGAACAGTGTGTGGCACATGTGAGTCATTACTAAATGAATAAGCACAAATATGTCACGGGCCACTCCAGGATAGCGGGAAGACTACTGTCTCCCATACTTACCCTATACTCACTTTTGTTGTTGTTTTTTTATTTGTTGTTTTTTTGTTTTGTTTTGTTTTATGATACAAGATTTCACTCGGTCACCCAGGGTAGAGTACAGTTGCGAAATTGTGGCTCACTGGAGCGTCAACTTCCCAGGCTCAAGCGATCCTCCCACCTCAGCCTCCCGAGTAGCTGGGACTACAGGTATATGCCACCATGCCCGGGTACTTTTTACATTCTCTGTAGGCACAGTGTCTTGCTATTGTTGCCTAGGCTGGTCTCAAACTCCTGGGCTCAAATGATCCTCCTGCCTCAGCCTCCCAAAGTTCTCATATTACAGGTGTAAGTCACAGTACCCACCCTTCCCCTGCTTTACATCCCATGGAGAGAAGGGCCTGGGATTGCTGCATTGTCATGAAAATCCCCTGGGCATGTGGCTGGATGGTGGCGTGTGGAGATGGCTGTCGCCCAAACTTTGAGTGTTTTCCTGCCCTGCTTTAGGAGCCTTTATGATTCATAAGTTCAAGTTCTGTTTAAATCATTTGCATTGCCTCTAAATGTAGCAGAATACCATGTGATGCCCACTTCCAGAGAATCAGCAAGGAGATGGCACTTGGGTACCCACTGCCCACTGTGCTGGGAGGATCTGTCCTGGGGCACTCCAAAGTGATGGCCTGAGAGAGAGTAAACATCCGCTCTGCCTCCTGCAGCTTTTCTCCCTAAGCCCTTATCTTCCCTCTGGGGTGCATATGTTCTGAGTTAACTCTGCTAAGCCAGAAATACACTTCCCAGGACTTCCTTCCCTGCATACTCTGGACCATGTGACTTTGCATAAAACGTGGAAGATGGAAGTGAAGCAGCAGTCATTTCCCTGTTAAGCTTGGATGCTTGAATGCAGGGCACCTGGTGCTGTTGTAGCTTACACACGTCATTGCTGATCTGCTCGCTCACTTTATCGGCCCGGGCAGGTTTTGGGCTCTCAGCTCCTTCAGCTCCTGCTGGTTTCTCCTTGAGTCCTCTCTATCCTGGGCCTGTGTGTACAGCTCCTGGGGCAGCAGCCAGGCCTGAAGCTCCTCCCACACCTGCCAGATCCTCCTCAGGGTTCTCCCTATCCCCGGCCACGTGCATGTCTAGCTCCATGATGAAGGATGCCTGATTCTCCTACAGGTCACTGCATTAGCAAATGTGGAGCCTTGTTGGCTTCAGATACTGACACGGTTCAAGCCCAGCCTTGTGGGCTGCAGTTCGTTCTTGATCTTCCTCACTTCACTTCTGTCCTTCTTTCCTTCCAGCGGCCTACTCCGCTGACTTTAGTCCCACCACCAGGTAAAGAAGCAACAGTGGAATGTGAAGTGTTTAGCTGGCTCCTTCAATTATGCTAGGTTGGTTCCTAAATTTAATCTCATATCCTATATCATTCTTAGTAGCTTGTTTCTGTGATCAAACCCTAATTGATACATCCTTTAATCTCCAGATCCTACTTATTCTTTGAGGGCCTATTCAACTGTTACTTCCTCATGAAGGCTTCACAGTATCTTTTGTTGCAATTACACCTTCTCCTCTTGAAGTTCCCATAACAATTTTTTGCTACCACAATTTTCTTTTTTGTTGTTGTTGTTTTTTGTTTTGTTTTTGAGATGGAGTCTTGCTCTGTCACTCAGGCTGGAGTGCAGTGGTGTGATCTAGGCTCACTGCAACTTCCACCTCCTGGGTTCAAGTGAGTCTCCTGCCTCAGCTTCCCAAGTAGCTGGGACTACAGGCGAGCGCTACCATGCCTGGCTAATTTTTGTATTTTTAGTAGAGACAGGGTTTTGCCATGTTGGTCAGGCTGGTCTCGAACTCCTGACCTCAGGTGATCCATCTGCCTCGGCCTCCCAAAGTACTGGGATTATAGGCATGAGCCACCGCGCCCAGCCTTGCTACCACAATTTTCTTACAAATACTTATGGATCACTTACTATGTGCCAGGCAGTGTTCTAGGAACACATGAATAAACAAAACAACAAAAGTTTTTCTGCCTTGTATTGTTGTAGGAGCAATTTCTTTCTCCCTTCCTAAACATAAGTGAATGTAAACATAATCCCAGATATAGTTTTAAAAATGTTATAAACCCTACAGCCAGGGACTGCGAACCTGCAGCACAGCTTTTTTTTCATAGCCTGAGTCCTCCCTCTTCATGTAACTAGAAACTAAAGTCAAGCTGTTTGACATGAACTGGTCACAGGGTCCAGTGAGGTTGGTTCATTGACGCATATTTTCAAACATGTTGTGACTAAACAGATTATAACCTACATGTGAACCAGAGGCTAAAAGGTCCTCCTGTGCCTCCTAGTTTCAGGTATTTTGGGCATAAAAAATATCTCAGAGATCTCTAATTCCCACAAAGCCCAGCAGTGAATATCATAGTCTAGAAGCAAAACAGCTTTGTGAGTTACCTGCCATAAGTTCAGGTTCAGTATAAACCTGGGGAAATTGCATGGCGAATGTGGAAGGAAAACAGATAATCAGATGAGCATACGTACTATTACAATATAAATATATAAATGATGTATGATTCAGTAGGTCCATGTCTCAAAAGGAAAATTCAAGGTTACAAAGAAATTGTGTTCAATAGAAAGCACAAAATATGTTGGCAAAACAATTCTAATGAGACCAGTAGTCAGAACAAACATGAACTGGCTAAGTTCTACATGGAGAGCTCTTCTGATAAAAGGAATTGTTCACTAAAATGCTCTAATAATGAAGCTATAGCCCTCTAAC